GGTCCGGAGCCCTGGGTCACGCAGTCCCAGCCCACCCACGGACCCTTCCTCGGAGGACGAAGCCGGGCGTTGCATTTGTTATTTATTCTTGCAGCCCCTCCCGCTCCCCCAATTCCAAATCAAACAACGCGATCCAGCCCAGTGTTTGTTGGAAATGTGTAATTCCCAGGCAAAGAGAAAACATTTCTCGGTAACAATGGTAGTATCCAGAACTTTAACCAGTGGCTTTAAATAGCCCGGGGAAGAGGAAGGCGAAAGCAAGGAGAGTGCAAGGAGAGCTTGAAGGCAAACTTTATTCCCTCCTCCCCGCAAGGGTTGGCTCCGCCTATTAATATTTGGAAAAGCTGTAGCATCCAGAAGTCAGAGGTCAGCTTGCTTTGACCACGTTGGTGAAATCTTTTAATTAATCTCTCTGCTCCACCCAGCATGTTGACTCGCAAGCAGGAGTGCGTTACCCAAGTCGTTTTGGCATCTTGGTCCCAAGTAGGCCACCATCACATTGTAGTGGGAGCTCAAGTGCTCAGAAACGTTTGGATTAAGAATGAGATCAAGTAAGATGACATTTCTGGAGCGGTGGAATCCTATTTAGGCGAAGGTTATGCAAACCTAAAGCTTCGTAGTTCTACAACTACGCAAAGCCTTCCTATAGTTGTTTCCAGGAATTGATGATGGCTACCCTATTGCACCACACTACAAATAAATAGACTTAGTAGATGCAGTCACACTTTGGAGTTCTGAGATTTCCAACTACATTATGCTCTATATTTGTATATTTCGTGGCGACTTTCAGGTTCTTCGTAGAAATTCAATCCTCATGAGCTAGGGATCACACCCCCACTTCATTAAGGAGGTCCCACAGTTCAAGCCCCAGCACTTGCCAGGAGTCCTTTGAATTTGGAATAAGGCTGATACTATGTGAGTGAGGGAAAAATGGCAGTTGGCTTTCTGCCTCTGGAATGAGTCTTCCTTGATGTAGGCTCATTTCAATCAGGTAAATGGATGTGAAACGAAGAGTAATACTGTCTCTTCAGGGAAGAGTCCTTACAAAGACAAGACACTACGTTTTCATAGATCTCCATAATATATATTTATTTGTTACTTACTTTTGTTTGTGCATTTGTCAGGTCCCAAAGGAAACTCCAATTTCCCAAACTCCAAATGGCAGTCCAAACATCCAGAAAAGAGCTCAAGCCAGCATTCCTCAGGAACTTGTGAAACTGATTCCTCTCTATCAAAAATGTGTCCCTTCTCTCTGGCAAAAGGGACACAGGGCTACCTAGTAGCATATCAGAACCCATGTTGTCCTCCAGGATCCCTCAGTACCACAGGCACCTGTTATACATTTCAAAGTCCATGTTAGTTTCCTAGGCCTTCTCACTTCCTCCTCTAGGGTTCTCTCCCCTCAGCTACTCATTCTCCTTATAACCCTGCTATTCTCTCTCTCTCTCTCTCTCTTCTCTCTCTCTCTCATATCTACAATAAAACCTTCACCTTACTCATACCATGGAGTGGTTATGTTGTCAGATTACACAGGTTGTTGGGGGAGGGGATGCCATTTATTTGTTTTGTTTTACTTTTGAGACAAGGTTTCACTATATAGCCTCTGGCTGGCTGTAGATCCCTCCCTGCCTCAGGACCACTATACACAGCTCTCCGTAGTCTGTAGCACCAGGTATTTATTATTTCACCATGATACTCTTCTAGCGTGTATATGACAATATTCAGGACTTGCTGCACCAAATAGTGTATATCAATGACCCTTGGGCATATTGGGTATTTTAAGCTGAAGGAATTGAAGAAATGATTGATGTGGGAAGAACTCCCCACCGTTGCCCTGAAGCAGAGCAAAGGCTGCCTGTGTGTGTGCCTTTGGGAGAGAGTAGATGTGGGAAGAACTCCCCACCGTTGCCCTGAAGCAGAGCAAAGGCTGCCTGTGCCTTTGGGAGAGAGTAACATCCTCAGTCATGACGACAGGAATTCTTGGAGGAGTTTAAGGAACAGTGATCTCATGTTTTCCCATGACCTTCTGCTCAAGTCCAGTTTTAAACACATGTAACCCTTTCTTCAAATTTCCAATTCTTTACGAAAGCCTCAGTGTCATGTAAAATTTTGCAAAGTTTGTATTTTTTGGTCTTTTAGTATAGAGATGCCAAGTAGGAGCTTAATAGAGTTCCCTACACTCTTGGGGGAGGTTTACGAAAGCCTCAGTGTCATGTAAAATTTTGCAAAGTTTGTATTTTTTTGGTCTTTTAGTATAGAGATGCCAAGTAGGAGCTTAATAGAGTTTCCTAAACTCTTGGGGGAGTGGGGAATCAACCTGTAATTAGAACCATAGAGAAAGCCTGTCCAACTCACTGCAAGCAATCCTGGGTTAGTTTACTTTGCTCCTCATAAAGCTGTGCTAATTACCATGTCCTATTTTGCCTGTCAAAAGAATTTCAGTTTTACATAATTAGTTTGTGAGGCTGCAGAGGTAGCTCAATGGGTAGTGTTTGCATTAGAAGCTTGAGGACCTCAGTTGGAACCCCAGAATGGATTAGAGGGAGGGAGGGAGGGAAGGAGGGAGAAATGTGGAGAGAGGGGAAGAGAGAGAGAGAGAGAGAGAGAGAGAGAGAGAGAGAGAGAGAGAGAGAGACTGAGACTCCTGCCCGGAAGCAGGTGGCCTAACTATAGATCTTTACCCTTGCCTCCCCCTGTCTCCCTCCTAACACTATAAAAGACCATCTGGCTCAGCCTCCACTTCTTCCTGCCCCCACCTCCAGGAGATCAAGCAGATCTTCTCTACCCCGCCCCAATATCCTGTTACCCTAGCCCCCAAGTCTAAGCAGGCATTCCCTGGGAACCTGCCAGTCAAGTCTGCCAGCAAAACAAGTAGGCCAGTGAAACAGGTGATCTCCACATCTTCCCTCTCTCTCCCCTCCAAATCCAGCACCCCAGCCTCATCCTCAGGTCTGTGGCAGACTATCTGTTGTGACTTCTCTCTCACTCTCCCCTCTCTTAGTCCCATGCCCAGGGGAAAGCAGATCCTGGTGGAAAACCCTGCTTTTCTCCCTCCTGTGGATGCCCTTAGCCACCACCACCCCCAAGCCCATCCCCATTCCTAGATGTAGGCTGTTAATACCAAGAAACACATTTTACCCAGAACCAGTGTTCACATCTAGAAGAATACCAAAAGAATGCCCCAACAGGCAATACACAGCCACAACACCCTCCTATGAACCAGAGAGGGCACCAGAAAGCAAGGAACAAAACACCTAACCACCCAAGACAAGACTAGTACCTAGATTTACAGTCTTTCCAAACCCAGATGCCCAGATGCCAGCGTGAAAACCCAATCAATAATATCCAGAACAAGATGTCTCCACTAGAGCAGAGTAGTCCTACTCCAGTAGGCCCTGAGAATTGCAATATAGCTAAAGCACAAGAAAAAAAGACCTTAAAATAGCTTTTATGAATAGGATGGAGGTCCTTAAAGAGGAAATAAATAAATCCCTAAGGAAATCTATGAGAACATAAACAGTGGAAGGAAATTAATTTTTTAAAAAAAGTTCAAAACCTTAGAGTGGAAACAGAATCTATAACAAAAACCCAAACTGAGGGAAATCTGAAAGTGAAAATTTTAGGAACTTGAACAGGAACCTCAGAGGCAAGACTCACCAAAAGAATGTAAGAGATGGAAGAGAGAATTTCAGGCATTGAAGACACAATAGAAAAAAAAATTACACCTCTGTCAAAGAAACCATTAAAAAAAACATTAAAAAAGAACATCTAGGAAACCTGGGAAACTATGAAAAGACAAAACAAACAAACAAACAAACAAATTGGAATAGAGAAAGGAGAAGAAACCTAGGTCAAAGGCACAGAAAATAAATCATAGAAGAAATTTTCTCTAACCTAAGCATACAGGACACCAAATAGAATGCACCGGAAAAGAAAGTCCTCGTTGGGCAGTGGTGGCTCACACCTTTAATCCCAGCGCTCAGGAGACAGAGGCAGGAGGATCTCTGTAAGTTCAAGACCAGCCTGGTCTACAGAGTTAGTTCCAGGACAGCCTCCAAAGTCACAGAGAAACCCTGTCCAGAAAAACAAAACAAAACAAAAAAAAATAAGAAAAGAAAAAGTCACAGAGAAACCCTGTCCAGAAAAACAAAACAAAACAAAAAAA